AAAAACCAAAGTTGGTAACTACCACACGTTTATGATACACCCCGTATATTGGAAAGTAATTTTAAAATGTGGACCTTTTAAACATGAAAAACTTTTGTAGGACGTATTTTCTTGCAAAGTTCATATTTACTGAGATAGACAGAGACACTAATGAGCAACCCTGCATATATATCTAGAGAGAATATGAAAGGTTTATTTGGTCTTAGAACTATTCTTCTTTTGTTTCAGCCATTATTTTAACATGCTCGCCCCGTCCCCAAGCCAATTTAGTTCAGTAGCAGCCACACAGCCGCGACAACGTTTCGCCTACTAGACAGGGCGTCCTTCTTCGGGACGCCGCCCGGAGGGGCGCAAATATGTAATCCTCCGGCCAACTCGCAGCCTCGCGTGCCTTCCAACATGTTCTCGAAGTTGCGGAGCGGAAGTAGTGGAGGAGACCGCGACCTACGCGCCCCTCTTGACACCAATCCCATCACCAACTTCTTCGAGGTGGGGAAACAGATCGCCAATGCTGGACCGGAATTCGTCTGGAAGATCTACGAGGCCTATAGGAAGAGTGATGGCAGGGTGAGTACTTCTCTAAGGAAAAATGAAAAATCTGTATTAAAAATTGGTTTTGCACTATAGCTTTTTATCGACTTAGCTTTTTTTCATGTTTCGCTCTTATTTCACTGAAAACGAGGAAACCAGTTGATGTGATAAGTATTCTATTATATTCGCTCCATGGAAAAGTTTATCCTGATTTTTTCCAACGTCGAAAACGTAGCTCGGAAAATTGACGTTTATACACAAATCCGCCCTGTCTTTAAAAATTTACCTCCAGCAAACAGATTGAGGTAAAAATATGAAATTATCACCATCCATCTAGAATCCCTGTATCCTACGATGACAAAAGTTTCGTAAAGATCGGCAGTAATACTGATTTTTTACATCGTCGTAAACGTGACTCTGAAAATGGATGTTTTTACAAAAATGCGCCCCGACGTTTAACAATGTAATTCAACCTAACTTAATGGAAGTAAAAATATCAAATTATCACCATCTATCTAGAATCTCCGTGTCTTACGATGACAAAAGTTTCATAAGAATCTCCGTTAACTCTGATTTTTGGCAACGCCGAAAACATGACTCTAAAACTGGACGCTTGTGCAAAGATGCGCCCTGGTTTTTTAAAAAAGAAAAATTGCTTCGGCCAAACTGAAGGAGGTAAGAATATGAAATTCGCACCATCCATCGAAAATGTCTCTGGTTTACAACAGCAAAAGTAAGTTTCATAAAAATCGCCCATCATCCTGATTTTTTCCAGCGTTGTGAACGTGGCTCTGAAAATGGCCCTTTATGCACAAATGCGCCCTGTCTTTTAAAAATTTGCTTCGACAACACTAAAGGACAAAAGAATATGAAATTCGCAACATCTATCGACGATATCTGTGTCGTGCGATGACAAAAGTTTCATAAAAATCGTCTGTAATCTTATCTTGATTTTGTCCAGCATCGTCAACATGTCTCTGTAAAGGAACGTTTTTTCAAAATCTGCTTTGACGAAACTGAACGCGGTAAGAATTTAAAATTCTCAGCGTCCACTGCAACTGCCTATGACGTACGGTGACAAAAGTTTCATAAAAATCGCCCGTAATCCGTATTTTTGCCAGCGCCATAAACGTGGCTCCGAAAATGGACGTTTGTACGCAAAATGCGGCCTGCCTTTTAAAATTTTATTTCGACCAAACTTAAGTAGGTGAGGATATGAGATTCGCACCATCTACAGAAAATGTCTGTTTCTTACGATCACAAAAGTTTCATAATAATCACCCATAATCCGAAGTTTTGCCAGCGCAGTAAATGTGGCTCTCAAAATGTACAGTTGTACACAAATGCGCCGTGTCTTTTAAAAAATTGCTTCCACCAGACTGAACGATGGAAGAGTATAAAATTCGCACTATCTATAGAAAATGTCTGTGTCTTACAGTGACAAAAGTTTCATATAAATCGGCCGTAATTCTGATTTTTTCCAGCGTCGTAAACGTACTGAAACTGGACGTTTATACACAAATGCACCCTGTTTTTTTTTTAAGAGAAAAGATTGCTTCGACCAAGTTGAAGGAGGTAAGAATATGAAATTCCCCCATCTACAGAAAATGGCTGTTCCTTACTATGACAAAAGTTTTATAAGAATCACTCATAATCTCCCGAATTTTTGCCAGCGCAGTAAACGTGGCTCTCAAAACGGACGTTTATGTACAAATGCGCGCCCTGTCTTTTAAAAATTTGCTTCGACCACACTAAAGGACAAAAGAATATGAAATTCGCACCATCTATCGACGATATCTGTGTCGTGTGATGACAAAAGTTTCATAAAAATCGTCCGTAATCTTATCTTGATTTTGTCCAGCATCGTCAACATGTCTCTAAAAAGGAACGTTTTTCAAAATTTGTTATGACGAATGATGCCCGTAATCCTGATTTTTGCCAGCGCCATAAACGTAGCAAAATGCGGCCTGCCTTTTAAAATTTTATTTCGACCAAACTTAAGTAGGTGCGGATACTAAATTCGCACCATCTACAGAAAATGTCTGTTTCTTACGACCACAAAAGTTTCATAATAATCACCCATATTCCGAAGTTTTGCCAGCGCAGTAAATGTGGCTCTGAAAATGGACAGTTATACACAAATGCGCCGTGTCTTTTAAAAATTTGSTTCCACCAGACTGAACGATGGAAGAGTATARAATTCGCACTATCTATAGAAAATGTCTGTGTCTTACAGTGACAAAAGTTTCATATAAATCGGCCGTAATTCTGATTTTTTCCAGCGTCGTAAACGTACTAAAACTGGACGTTTATACACACATGTGCCCTGTTTTTTTTTTAGAGAAAAGATTGCTTTGACCAAGCTGAAGGAGGTAAGAATATGAAATTCGCCCCATCTACAGAAAACGTCTGTTCCTTACGATAAGTAAGTTTTATAAGAATCACTCATAATCCCCCGAATTTTTGCCAGCGCAGTAAACGTGGCTCTCAAAACGGACGGTTATACACAAATGCGGCACTGTCTTTAAAAATTTACCTCCAGCAAACTGATTGAGGTAAAAATATGAAACTATCACCATTCATCTAGAATCCCTGTTTCCTGCGATGACAAAAGTTTCATAAGAATCTCTTTAACTCTGATTTTTGGTAGCGCCGAAAACATGGCTCTAAAACTGGACGTTTATACAAAAAGGGGCCTGTTTTTTTAAAAAAGGAAAAATTTTCGACCAAACTGACGGAGCTACGAATATGAAATACGCACGATCCATCAACAATGTATGTGTCCTACAAACACAAAAATAAGTTTAATAAAATACGCCCATAATCCTGATTTTTTCAACGTCGTGAACGTGGCTCTGAAAATTGACGTTAATACACAAATGCGCCGTGTCTTTTAAAATTTGCTTTTACCAAACTAAAGGAGGTGAGAATATGAAATTATCACCATCTATCTAGAATTTCTGTGTGTTATGATGACAAAAGTTTCATAAAAATCGCCGATAATCCTGATTTTTGCCATCGTCGTAAACGTGGCTCTGAAAATGGATGTTTTTGCATAAAGGTGCCCTACTTTTTTAACATTTACTTTGACCAAACGGATGGAGGTAAGACTATGAAATTCTCACTATCTATCTAAAATCTGTGTGTCTTACGATGACAAAAGTTTCATGAGAATCGCCGCTAACTCTGATTTTTGTCAGCGCCGTTTACTTGGCCCTACAACTGGACCTTTATAAAAAAATGCGCCCTGTTCATATTAAAGAATAGATTGCTTCGACCAAGCTGAAGGAGGAAAGAATATAAAATTCGCACAATCCATCGAAAATATCTGTGTCTTTCAAAAATAAACGTATATTGTAAAAAAATAAAAGTAAGTTTCATAAAAATCTTCAATAGTACTGATTTTTTTCAGCGTCGTAAACGTGGTTCTAAAACTGGACGTTTAAACACAAATACGCCCTCTCTTCTAAAAACTTGTTTGAACCAGACTAAAGGAGGTAAGATTATGAAATTTGAACGATCTCTAGAGACTTGAATCTGGGGATGACAAATCTGAGTCTTGGGATGACAAATGTTTCATAAAAATCGCCTATAATCCTGATTTTTTGAAAAAAATGGACGTTTATATATAAATGCGCCCTGTAACACTTTCCTTCGACCAAACTTAAGGAGATAAGAATATGAAATTTTCTCCATCTATTGAAAATATTAAAAATGTCTGTGTCCTACGATCTCCAGTTTCATAAAAATCGCCCATAATCCCGATTTTGTCCAGCGTCGTAAACGTGGTTCTGAAAATGGACGCTTTTACACAAATGAAACCTCTATTGCTAGAAATAGGACTGTGTAGAGTCCAGAAAAATTTTCAGATATTTTCAGTTATTTAAAGAGCCAGCTGCAAAGCTGAAAGAGCACCTGGAAAACATGAAAGCTCACTCACAAAGAGGTTTCTGCATAGAATGCACGTGTACGATTTCCCGATAAAAAGGACAATTGCCTGGCCTCCGAAAGTATAACTGGACATAAACATAACTGGAAGAAATCAATGGACTTTACGACGCTAGGTAACTCTTAAATAATAGAAATTAATTCAAACTTATTTGAATTTTCAGTGATTGGAGTATTTTTTAATTGTGTGAGTATCTTTTGGGTACGTCAAATGGCAGAAAAAGGTTGGTAGATCAGAAGTGTAAAAAATTTGAAATGTTTCTGACCAACAAAGCTTCAGTCTGTGTTCATGCAAATCCGCCAGGAGGCAACTTAAATCAGAAGAGAAAAAAGTAGTTTGACATTTCAAGAGCATTTGGACACTTTTGAACAGCAGATACGCTACCGGAAGAGGATTTTCTCAGGGTGCGTAACACTTGAGAAAGATTGCCGCTGTTGCAAGGAAAACATCGGTTTTAATACAGAATTGTGAGGTTTATTAATGCAAATGGAGAAAAATAAGCCACCTCATAACAATAGAAAAAACAGCAGGTTGAAAGTTTTAATGCCAAAAATGAGGTGGGAGAAAATCACATAAAGGCTTACCATCTTGGTATAAAAAAACAATAGGAATAATGATCTGAGACATTAACAATGATCTAGATGATGATATCTAGAACTCAGAGAACAAAAAGTAGTAACCCGAAGGAAAAGCGAGAAATAAGCCTTAAGATTGAGAAAGTGTTAGAACCGACAGAAAAAGAAGGAAACATTGACAAACCGCGGAAAGCTTTAATAAAATGAACCAAGATAAAGGAAGTGGATGTTGAAAAGCCCACAAGAAGCAAGGATAACACAATAAGTCATAGATCTCATGAATAAAAAAAATACGACCAAACCAGCGCATTAAAATAATTAAGAAAAGCTGAAGGTAAACGCCAGAAAACCAGATGCAAGCATTTTTCCAAGAAACTGAACAATTTGAAAGTATTGAAAAATCATCAGTCGAAGCATGTCAAAAATTATGTGTGAAAAATGTTACGAAATGGTTTGAAGATTTTCCAACGCTAAAATTGCCGTTTGAAAATGTCGCCCAACCGGAAAAGTAA